GGTGTCCTGTAAGGAGAGGAGGTTAGGAAACAGATATATAGAGGGGAGATCATGTGAAGACAGGGAGAAGACAGCCATTTATAAGCCAAGGAGAGCAACCTGCTGACACCTTGATCTCAGATTTCTAGCCTCCAGAATAGTGAGAAAATACATTTTGTCATTTAAGCCACCCAGCCTGTGGCACTCTGTTATGGCACCGCATACAGACCAATATAGTGCATTTCCCATTCACATTAAATAAGTGTGGAGGCAGACAGTGCAAGATGATATGGCCATGGCACATAGACTCAGGCTCCACTTTCTCTCCCACCTTCTATTTTCAAGGTCACTTCTTGGACAAAGATGGCTGCTGGAGCTGCCTTATATCATACAGCAACAGGAAGAAAGGGCAAAGAGTAGATCTCTCCCTTTTAAGTCTACTTCCTGTAAGTCCCACAGAGCAATTTTGCTCACATCTTATTGGCTACTGCTTAGTCACATGATCATACTTTGCCCAAGGGCATCTGTGCAATATGCCTAGCTAAAAACAAGGGTTCATTCCTAAGGAACAAGGGGAGAATGGATGCTGGGGGAGGCAACCAGACTCTCTGCCATAGAGTATGACCTCAGTCCACACCCTCAAGGGTGCATAAAGAACTTCCTTTATGTTTTCTGTAACTCAGCAAGATTTCTATTTCAAGCCAGGATGGCACTTTCACCCTTTTATATGAATGTGTCTAATTCCTGGGTGGCTTTGAAGTGCCCAGCTATGGTGGGCAGTGTCTATCCTGCAGTCCTCTGTCCATATAGGTGTGCCCAAGACAGCAGCCCTCAGCCATCTGCCCCTGACCTTCAACTTGCACAGGCCACCTTATTTCTGTCTGTGCAGCTCTTTGGCCTCTTATGGACCAACCTCAAGGCTCAGGGATTGTTCTGTTGCTCCCACACCTGCTGGGAACCAGGCTACTCTATAAAGCATTCTTTCCATCTGCTCTTGGGTTTCTCAAATCTCTCTCTGGAGTTTTGGCATTCTCCTACAAGAAGTAAGGTTCAGGGTCTTGCCTTCAGAGACTTCACAAACTCTATTTTTTATTATCTCTCTCCTGCTTCTTTCTTTTCCCCTGAACCTCAGGAGACTATTCCTGATCTGAAGGTGATAAGCCTATTTTTGGTCTTTATGTTTCTACAATAAGAATGTAAGCTATTGGGACACAGGTCAGACTCTTGGCTTTTTCTGCTTCCCACCCTCTCATATTCCTCTCTTGAGGTGACAAGCACATATTTCAGCTTGACAGTAGGGGAGAAAAAAGAAAATATAAGAAAATTGAAAAGAACATAGGTAAATCGTCCCAAAATATTATCCTGCTATATTGATTATAAGCTTTCCTGTGGTTGACATTATTTGGCATTCCTTACCTAATTTTCTCTTCTGCCACTGTACAGTCTAGAAAAGCTAAAAGTTACCTTTCCTACCCTCTCTTACAGGTTAGGGAAGCTGTATTTCTGAGTTCTGGTTAATAAGATAGGAGCAGGAGGCTGCTCAAAGTTTTCAGAAAGGTTTCACTTTATCCAAATGAGGAGCAAGGTGTGGTTGGCAACATATTTCTCCCTCTGCTTTCTACTTAGAATGTGAACACAATGCCTGGAGCTGCAGCAGCCATCTTGCTACCATGAGAGCAAAGCTAAGTGAATCAGAGGTGCCATGGCACCATTGAGCAGCTGAGTCTCCACAACATTATTTATTTACTTATTTTTTTAGGCGAAGCAACCCTTGGTTGACCTCACAGATTGCAAGGACCCTGTCAGCTTACAATTCCTTATTTTTTAAAAAATTTTTATGCCTATAGCACCTGGTCTTCCTAGGTAGTTTCCCATCCAAGTACTAACCAGGTCCGACCCTGCTTAGCTTCTGAGATCAGACGGGATTGGGCTTGTTCAGGGTAGCATGGCTGTAGACTACTTACTGTCTATTAAGCAAGAAAAATGAGTCCTCATTTTTAAGTCTTTATTACTTGCTGCTGAAAGCATTTCTAATGTATACTATCACTTTATCTAAATTAGAAGTGGGTTTCTATTTATTGTTACAAACTATGCCCAGAGAGTAACAATATCTTGAATTCTGAACCATATATGTGCCAGACAGTTCCTAACTATCCTCCATCTTGCTAAGCCCAGGCTCAGCCACCAGTTTTGTCCTGGTGGTCCCCAGGCCAGGCTCTATTTTTCAAAGTGAGTCACATAGGTAAGGTAATGCTATTCAAGGATATTAAGCAGAAAATCTTGGCTCTTCAAGCAGGCTGGAGGATGGAGGAGGTAGTCCAGCAACCGTTGTCAATCTTGGGACCTACTACATCTCCTTTGCTCCCTTTCTGGGCAGCAAAGGCCTTCATTTACTGAAATGTTTGAGGGAAATTCAGACCTGTCTACTATAGCATGTGTCATAATATGTTGGGCAGGTTCCTGACTATTCCAAGGGAAGGTGCTTGCCTGAGGTATCCCTTTCTCTGAGAAGTCCCCTCTGTATCCCGTTGTCAATCTTGGGACCTACTACATCTCCTTTGCTCCCTTTCTGGGCAGCAAAGGCCTTCATTTACTGAAATGTTTGAGGGAAATTCAGACCTGTCTACTATAGCATGTGTCATAATATGTTGGGCAGGTTCCTGACTATTCCAAGGGAAGGTGGCTGCCTGAGGTATCCCTTTCTGTGAGAAGTCCCCTCTGTATCCTCCTTTAGCTGAAATCACCATGGCCTGAAAATGGAAGGGTGACAGAGCACAGATATGGTCGGTATGTGGGGCATCTACGCCATCCAGGACTTCAAGCCAGATTCTACACAGCTCAAAAGTGATGGCCCAAGCAGTTCCGGTTGGAGAATAAATTCTAGAACTCTTTCCAGAACAGTTCAGGAAGAAAATCTTTCTTTCCTTTTGAGTTATTCCTGAGACACTGATAGCCTGGAGCAGCCAGGGTCTACCACTAGGGGAGAGAGCTTGGATAAGAGCAAAGCAAAAACTAAGAAACAGAGAGACCAAGTCCCAAGAACATGGTAGGAACCCCAGATCAAGCTGTGCCTGAAGGCCATCTACACCTAGACTTTTAATATATATATGTTCATTAAAGCCGATTTGAATTGCTTTTCTCTCATACAAACTAAAATGGTCCTGAGAAGTTCAGCCCATGACAAATAGTGTTGCATGTAGGCAGGTAGGCTGAGACCCAAGGTCCAAATTGCCTGCTGTCAGATTCAGTGCAATGCACTGATTGACCAGAGCCCGAAACTGAAGTGTCCTTGGAAGAATTTGTGTGCACACAGCTTCTCTTGATGTTTGAGCTCTGCCTTGTCTCTGAGGATTTCCCAGACCATTTGGTTCAGCCCAAAGTGTATCTCTCTGCTCTCCACATTTGTCTGTGCAATGCACTTGGCACTGAAGTATGTACTATCACACCTGTTGTTGTCCTGAGCTGGTCTTTAAATCTGGGCCAACTCAGGCTGCACTTTAGCTTTTCTCTTTTGTTGTGAACTCTGGGCCAGGGACTGGCTCTTATTGATTCATTTTTCCAAACAGCTTAGGGCTCAGCACATGGATAGAATTTTCGGGTGGCATCATGGGACAATGGAAAGAACACTGGCTTTGAATCCTGGCTCCGCCAGTCACTAGCTGGGTGACCTTCAGCCAGTTACTTAACTATTCTGAGCCTGGTGAGGGTTATTATAAAAGACACTCTGTGTCAGATATGGGGCTAGGAGCTGAAAATACAATGGCGAGTGTATTAGTCAAGATATACTTTGGTTGGTGGCAAGCAATAGTAGCAAAATAAACCCTGCTTATTTTTCATTTTGGCATACAGCTAAACTACATTTCTTAGTCTCCTTTGCAGTTGAGTGGGGCCATATGGCTAAGTCCTAGCCAATGGAATTTGGGGCAGAAGTGATATATCTTCTAGAAAGATCTAGAAGTGACACTTCTAGATCTTTCTCCTAAAGAACCTGCTGTGGAATGCTCCACAATCTCTCTTTTTCTGTTTGCCAGCAGACACATAAGATCTGATGACTCCAGGGATTTAAAGGAAGGGTGAGCCCCAAGATGGAAAAGGTCTGGGACCCTGAATGACTGTGTGGAGCAGAGCTCCTCTGCCAAACCCCTGTGATTGTGACATGAACAAGAAATAAACTTATACTGTGTTAAGGTTGTTTAGCAGCAGCATAGCCTACCCTGACATCAACTGTGACTGATGGAAATAAAAGTGAATTTCTTAGAAGGAAATGGGCTACTTGTGGAGTCAACAGGAGGCTTGGAGATGGGAAACTCTAGAGGTTAAGAGGGGGACTTATTACACAGAGTGACATCTATGCATCTAGAGCATAGTCTGACCATTTTATTGTTCCAATTTTAGTATATGTGCTGCTGAAGTGAGCACTAGTCTGACCATTTTAATCTCTTTGTCTAAATATTCAAATTCCTGGTGGTGGAGTCCATCTGCTCTAGTTTTGGCCATGTGCTCCTCCCTTTGGCTAGAGAAAAGAAAACCTTTGATTTCAATCCCTTACTGTGAGAGGAAGAAAACCTCAAAAGAGATGGATGTTGGATAGCCTGAAAACAAATGCTCCTCCAAATGAGCACAATGCCTTCTCTCTTAGAACTCCAATCTGAGGGAGGCGTCAACTAATCCCATCCTCCCACAATACGATGACTTAAAATGTAACTTAGTATTATCTCTCATAGTTCTGCGGCTGGACTGGGCCTAGCTAGGTGTTTCTTACCTGGGGTCTCTCCTGTGGTTTCAGTCATATAGTCTGAGAGGTGCTGGGGCTGGAGTCTTCAGAAGTCATGACTGGCTCAATTGTCCAAGATGGCCTCTTCAATTACATGGCTGGCATCTCAGCTGGCCTAGCTGCAGCAGAAAGAGGCTAGTCAGGCAATACTCTTTCTCCACTTGGTCTTTCCATGTGGCTATCTAGGACTTCCTCACAGCATGGCATTCTCAGGTAATCAGACTTCTTATATTGTGGCTGGCTTGCCTCAGAGGCATGACTGGCTCAATTGTCCAAGATGGCCTCTTCAATTACATGGCTGGCATCTCAGCTGGCCTAGCTGCAGCAGAAAGAGGCTAGTCAGGCAATACTCTTTCTCCACTTGGTCTTTCCATGTGGCTATCTAGGACTTCCTCACAGCATGGCATTCTCAGGTAATCAGACTTCTTATATTGTGGCTGGCTTGCCACAATATAAGAACATTCCAAGAAACCCAGGCAAAAACTGTAAAACTTTTTAAGATCTAACTTTGGAAGTCATGCTGTATTCCCTCCATTTCATTGGTCAGAAGTGCATTCACAGGGTCAGATTTGAGGACAGGGGACTACACAGGCTGTGAATACTGACAGACCTGATTCAGTGGTAGCTCACCTTTGTAGACCAACTACCACACATGATCATGTGTATCGGTCAGGAAAGGCCAGGTTATGCTATAGGAACACACCACCCCTAAATCTCAGTGCCTCAAAACAAAAGTTTATTTATTGCTTGTTCTTCTAGCTTGGTAGGGTCAGGGAGGTGTTCTGACCCACGTAGTCATTCCATCTCATGATGCCACAATCTCAACATGACAGCTCAGGATTCACTAAGGCAGGGGAGAGCAGAATCAGAGGGATTTGCACAGGCAAGGAAATGCTCTGGCCCAGAAGTGACACGAGTCACTTCTATTCAGTTGGCATTATCCTGCCCAACTGCAAGGAGTGGGGAAGTGTAATCCTCCCTTTTACTTAGAAGACAGCAGAGGCAGATATGGCTGAACATTAGAGGCCTTTCCCCCATTATGCTGTACTCAGGATAATTCCTGTTGTATGTCACCATTAGGTAAGTTTTCAGGCAAAATTTCTCCATTAATCATATTAATGGATGTTTATAAATAGCCTTTTATTCCACATGTAGGTGTCAGACCAGCCTGTTCCACATCTCTGCCCCTCTTATCAGTCTTAGGGTGGCCTCTTCTGTGTGTTCTCACTTATAAGACTTCTGTTCAGCTAGACTTCAGGCAACTCCCAATTATGGCTATTCTGTAGTTTAGTTGTAATTTTGATGTGGTGAGAGGAGGCAAGGAAGGTCCCTCAGTAGGAGACATATGAGTTGGGCCTTTGGGTTGAGTAGGAATTTGAAAGGAAGGCAAAGGGATGAAGGAAAAAACATTCTAGATGGTGGAACGACAAAAGCATAGGCTCAGAGACATCAATGAGTCTGCCTTTTTTTCCAGAAGCCATGACGATTCTAGCTTGGTGAGTTGTAGAAGAGGAGCAGATGGAAAGGTGGGCTGGAACTAGGCTGGAAATAATAATTATTAATAACTAAAATTTATTAAAAATCGTTTAATGTACCAGGCATAGTACTACACACTCATGAGCATTACCACACTAATGTGCTCTGCTGGGTCTCTTCCATTTGGACCCGGAAGTCCTGTCTCTTTCTCTACCCAGCTCTGTGCCCAGAAGGTTGGCTTCTATGAACTACATCACCAGTCTTCCTTGCTTTCTGGCTTCCAGTTGGGTTTGTCTAATGGGGAGCCCCATTTGGAGATAGAGGGAGGGAAGACAGTGAGTCAGAGTATTTACCTCATTGGCTTGCTCCCCGCAGGATCACCTTGGATGGCTGCTTCCTTCAGCGGCATTCACATGATTCCCTTGTCTGATTCTGGTAACTGTTCCTCCTCCTGCCCCTCCAGATGTAGGGATACTAATTGTCCTCGAACTAGACCTAGGTACTCTATTACCCTTTGTAGGATTTCCTTACACACTGCCCTTTTTAAATAGCCCCCTTGTTAATTCTTCACATTCTAATTAGAGTTTCCTGATAGAATCTGACTGATACAGGTACCTACCTGACCAGGTAGGTACAAATACTGTTTTTATTTTATAGATAAGGAAGCAGGTACAGAGAGCTTGGGTGATGTGCTCAAGGCCACACAGCTGTGTAGGAGAAAAAGACTCAACCCAGAGCTTCTGGTCAAGATTGCAGAGTAGGTAAATGCTGTGCTTGCCTCCTCTCACCACATCAAAATTACAACTAAACTACAGAACAGTCATAATTGGGAGTTGCCTGAAGTCTAGCTGAACAGAAGTCCTACAAGTGGGAACACACAGAAGAGGCCACCCCGAGACTAGTAGGAGGAGCAGAGACGTGGAACAGGCTGGTCCGACACCTGCGTGTGGCAGCTGAGAATCAGGAGGGATATCTCAGCTGCGGAGGACTCCCTGGAGAAGCAAGGGGTCCCAGTCCCACACCTGGCTCCCAAGCCCAGGGTTCTGGTGCCTGGAAGAGAAGTCCCCACAACCTCTGGCTGTAAAAAATCAGTGGAGAACGTGGCTGGGTGAGACAGAGGGCAGCTCCTCTTAGGGTGCTCGCACACAGACTTACTTGCTGACTGACTCACTCGCTCTGAGCTCCAGTGCTGGCGCAGCAGCTTGAAAGGCACTGAGATATTCAAGGAGGAATTAAATTGGCCTCAGGGCAAGGGCTGGAGGGGCGACTTTCTCTCAGACAGATGTGCTGGCAGAGGGCATTGTTCCTTTGTTGAGCCTTCCCCTTCCTGGTGTGTTGATGCAGGCAGCCACCATATCTGGGTCTCTATCAACCTGGCTAACACTGGTCTCCCTGCTCTGCTGATTCCCTGAGACCCTGCCTCACTCAACTTGCAGGCCCACTTAAGACACTTTCAATGGCTTTTCCATACAAATGGCTTGTCTTGGTTCATGTTGCACTTCTCCTAAAATCTCTCAAAGGTTCTCAAAACCCAAACAAGCAGCATCTGGCCACTGTATGCCCTGTACCTCTTATTGAGAAGCCTGAGCCCGGCACTAGCGGCAGCTGGCCTCGGTTTGTGACTTGGCGTCTCAAGGCACCTCCAAGGCCAGAATGAGTGGTGCTCATCTGTAAATTCTTTGGTGGCTCATGCCAGGTGGACCCAGGCAAGGCACAGGCTGTGGTTGAACTTGGCCTGTGGTGGGGCCCCTCCCAGGAGTCCCCAGGCCAGCACACTCAGCAGCCACTCTGATCAAGCCGGAGCACCACCTGAGGCTGTATCCGAGGACAATGCACACAAAGGGCAGGCAGCAGAGCCTTGCTAAAGTGAATCCTACTTCGTAGGGTCAGCCCCTATATAACAGCTCCTCTGCTGTAGTCATGGCCAGTCTTCACAAACAATCAATTTGAGGGTCAGTCCCTCCCATTGACATACAAGCAGCAACTAAGGCTCAAGAACAACAGGAGGGCACACACAACCCATACAAGGGTCACACCTGAAACACCTGGCTTAGGTGACCAGGGAGACTGCGCCACTGGACCCCACAGGATACCTATTACAGAAGGCTATGCTACTAAGACTGGGAGACATAGCAGCTCTATCCGATTCATAGAAACAAACACAGGGAGGCAGCCAAAATGAGGAGACAAAGAAACATGTACCACATGAAAGAACAGAACAAAGCTCCGAAAAAGAACTAAACAAAATGGAGACAAACAATCTACCAGATGCAGAGTTCAAAACTCTGGTTATATGGATGGTTAATGAACTTAGGGGAAGAGTAGATGAACTCAGTGAGAACTTTAACAAAGAGATAGAAAACATAAAAAAGATCGAGTCAGAAATGAAGAATACAATAACTGAAATGAAGATAACATTAAAGAGAATCAACAGTAGATTAGATGCAGAAGACTGAATCCACGATTTAAAAGATAAGGTAGAAAACACCCAATTGGAGGAGTAATAAGGAAAAAGAATTCCCCCCCCAAAATGAGGATAGTTTAAGGGGTCTCTGGGACAACATCAGGCGTACCAACATTCACATCATAGGGGTACCAGATGGAGAAGAGAATGAGGAATTGAAAACCTATTTGAAGAAATAATGACAGAAAACTTTCCCAACCTGGAAAAGCAGAGAATCCCAAACAAGATGAACCCAAAAGGCTCATACCAAGACACCTCGTAATTAAAACGACAAAGGTTAAAGACAAAGAGAGAATCTTAAAAGCAGCAAGAGAAAAGCAATTAGTTACCTACAAAAGAAATCCCATAAGACTATATGCTGATTTCTCAATAGAAACTTTGCATGCCAGAAAGGATTGGCACTAATTCAGTGATGAAAATCGAAGACCTACAACCAAGATTACTCTACCCAGCAAAGCTTTCATTTAGAATCAAAAGACAGATAAAGAGCTTCCTAGATAAGAAAAAGCTAAAGGAGTTTATCAACACCAAATCAGTATTACAGGAAATCTTGGCAATAACTACATATCTAACAATGATTTCAAATGAAAAAGGATTAAGTGCTCCAGTCAGAAGATAGGTGGTTGAATGGATAAGAAAACAAGACCCTCATGTATGCTGCCTCAAGAGACTCACTTCAGAGCAAAAGACTGAAAGTAAAGGGATGGAAAACAATAATTCATGAAAATGGAAATGAAAAGAAAAATCTGGGGTAGTAATAATTATATCAGACAAAGGCTATAATAAGAGACAAAGAAGGACCCAGTAGTCCTACTTCTGGGTATTTGTCCAGAGAAACCCAAAATACTGCTTTGAAGGGAAATGTGCATTCATATATTCCTTGCATTATTTATAATAGCCAAGATCTGGAGGCAACGTGGGTGTCCATCAGTGGATGAATGGATAAAGAAGAGGTGGTACATATATACATTGGACTATTACTCAGCTATAAATAAATAATAAATAAGTAAAACAAAATCTTGCCATCCGCAACAACATGGATGGACCTAGAGGGTACTGTGCTGAGTTGTGTAAGTCAGACAGAGAAAGACAAAAGCCATATGATTTCACTTACATGTGGAATCTAAGAAACAAAATAAAACAGAAACAAACTCATGGATACAGAGAACATTTTGAGGGTTTCCAGATGGGAGGGGAGTTAGGACAGTGGGTGAAAGAGGGGAAGGGATTAAGAAGTACAAATTGGTAGTTACAAAATAGTCATGAGGATGTAAAGTATAAAATAAGGAATATAGTCAATATTGTAACAAATATGTATGGTGTCAGATGGGTACTAGATTCATTGGGGTGATCCATCATAAGTTATATAAATGTCTAATCGCTACAGTGTACACCTGAAAACTAATATAATATTGTATGCCAACTATAATTGAAAAATAAAAAAAATTTTTAAAAATTCATATTGAATAATACTGTTATTCTTATGCCCGTTGAGAAATCAACGAGATTCCTCATCTGCAAATGGAAGAATTCTCCAGATTCTGATAGCCTTGCAGAGCTGTGGTGCAGGCTGAGAGAGGTTTTGGCTATTAAAAGAACTATTCTGGAGCTGGGGGTAGAGTATATGACCAAGGTCTAGCCAATCAGAGCATCTCATTCTCTCTGGTCACAGTGATTGGTTCAGGAGTGATCCAATCAAAGTCAATGAGATTATTTTCCTGGAATGTTTGTAGAACAGGCATGATCTCTTCTCTATCAGAATTCAACCTGGGAGAGGATAAAGCCTAGATATGCTAGAGACCACCATGTGAATAAAAGACCACCCCCCCGCCCTGCCCCAATTGAGGAAGCATAACCAAGAACTGGAGAGTAATTGAGTTCTGTGATATCATTTCAGACCCATGTCTGAAATCCACACAACCTTTTGGATGATTCTCTTACCTGAGATGATATAGTCCCTTTTTTCCTTATGATAGAGTTGCAGCTTTAGAGTCTCAACCTTGTTGCAGTGGAAAGAGTCTTGGTACAATAGAAGACAGCTTGGAGTGGAAAGAGGAGTAGGGACTCTGCAGCATTCAGGTGAACTTCTGTTCTTCTGTGAAGACTCAACTGAATTACTATCTTTGTTTAGCCTTCCAGTTACTGCCCCCTGCCCCATACTTAGTTGCTCCCTCCCCACTTGTGTGCTTAGGTCTGTACACATCTCTGTTATAGCACCTCTCTCACTGTGCTGTAATTGTTTGGGTGGTTATTTCTATCACGAGGCAGTACACAATCTGCTTGAATCTTATTCATTTGGAACACTTAGTTTTTGCAAAAAGGCCTGGCACAAAATTGATACTAACTCATTGAAAGTTTGTTGGGCAAATAACTAAATGAATGAGACTGAGGCAGTAGCAACAGGAATAGGCAGGAGGAGATGGATGGGGGACATTCCTGCAGTGCCAACAAAAAGTAATAGCAGCCTTAAATGTTTTTTTGGAATAGACAGGCTTGAAATTAATATTAATAACAAAATGTTATTTAGTTGACTTGGACAAAGTCCCTGGAGTAAAATTAATAATAGCTGTGATTTATTGTATGCCTTATGTGCTAGGTGTTTTGTGTGTACATTAAATTTAATTTTCACTCCAGCCTGGCAATGGAGATATGGTAAACATGTGGTGACTCCACCAAATCCAGTTATTCTGGGAAATTGAAATCAACTCCAGGGGCTGATTCTCTAAGCCAATCATAGCAATTCCATCCTCCTCCACAGTAGCTAGTTCAGAGATGGGCAGGCCTGGGCCAATTAGGACCAGTAGTATAAAGCTTACTGCCATGAGAAAGGATGAGAGAAAAGGTGCTCTCTCTTGCTGGATGTGAATGGGGATGTTTGTGACCCTGGCTGTTCCTGGCAGCCATCTTCATGTGAAGGAGAGCAGAGCCAAGAAAATCCCGGAGAAATGGATCCCCATCACTCCCAGTCTGAAGCTGACCTCTCTCTGGATGTCCAGCTATGGGAGTTAAGTGAGCCAAAGGCAAACCTCTAATTCATTCTGAGTTGAGTTTCTGTTATTTCATCCAATTACACAGTGAAACCAAGACTTCGAAAGTAATGTGCTCAACACACCTCAGCACTGTAAGAGCTGAGATTCCACTCCCAATTGTTTCATCCAAAAGTCTTTCATCCACTAAACTGAGCCAAGAAAAGACAAGTCACTTGGCCTCAGTCCTGGGTTTTCTGATTATCTTCTGAGATGACTTTTCTTGTACTTTCATTTTCTACTGCTTAGAATATCCTATGCCTTCTCTCTTTGCCTAGCAAAGTACATTTCTTTCAGGCCACAGCTTAAATAAATGTCATTTCCTGACCACCTCCCTACCCCATGCTTTGAGATTAGCTTAGATCCCTTGGCTGTTAACTCTCATGGTGGTTTGTATTTCTCTTTCACACAGTTATCAAAATTATAACTAATTACTTATTGTATATTACTTTAAAAATAATGTCTCTTTCATAAGGACACAAGTGTGTTTTGCTCAGCACTGAATCTTCAGAACAGTGGTTGTCATTTAGTAGGCAACAGTAAATATTTGATGAAAGAATAAGTGAAAGTTTTCTGTAGTCATGAGTTATATTAACAGTTCTCTAAGTGTGGTCCGTGGACCTGCAGCATTGGCATCACCTGGGAACCTATTAGGAATGTAATTAGGTTCCACCCGAGATCTACTGAATTAGAAATTCCGGAAGTGGGGCTCAGATGGCAATCCGTGTTTCAATGGCCCTCCAGGTGATTCTGATTCACGCTGGTGTTTGAAAGCGCCTGGTTTATACAGATTTGCTCCTCTTTGCAGTCCTCAAACCCTAGTAGCACCTCTGCTACTAGGGACTTTTTCCTGTTTTTGTTTCTTAAAATCAACTTTCGTAAATAAGGAAAATGGGTTGGAGGAGAGGAACAAGAACTCACCATATTCTTGGACATCTCAGAACCCAGATCCTCAGCAGATGTTCCTTCGACTTTGATCACGCTGCCCACTACTTTTTCATGTGTTTACATTTCCCATTCCTCCCTTCAATTTTCTCTGAGCACATTGAGTGTTTGTTGTGTTCACAACACTCACAGTTTTTCTCATTTCTTACAATTAATTTATTCATTTGCTCTTGTTGCTTATCTGCCTCCTAAGGGCAGGGACTATAGCAATTTCGTTTATCACCCTAGTCCTAGAACTCACAGCAGCGCCTGGGCCATAGTAGGGCTAAAATGTGGGTGCACTGAATGGATGTAAGCTTCACGAGGGCAGAGGCTGCGTGCCGCCGAATTCTAGCCGGGTGCTTGGCATGTTAAAGGCTCTTCCTCAAAATTTGCAGAATGAATGAGCCAACGAAACGAAAAAGAAAGCGCCCCTTTACCAAGATGACAGACCCGGCGCCCTTTACCAACATGGCCGCCGGCGCGCGTGGACAGGCGCGGGGCGGGGCATGAGGGGGCGGGGCCAGCGGGAGCCGTCAGGTGCGGCCCCGCCCTGCGTGCCCCCGCCCCTCGCTCGATTCCGGATTGGTCCGGTTCCAGCGCCGCAGCCCGGCGGCTGTGCCGTGGGGCTGCGCCGGGCGCTCGCCACTTCCGGCGCGTTGGAGCTGTTGGTTGGGGTTAGCCGCGCGGCGCGAGCGGGCGGCTTCAGGGTGGAAGCGCGCAGGGATGCTCCAGGGGCTGGCGGGGGTGGCGGCCGTGTGGGCTGAGGCGGCGAGGATAGCGCGGGTCTCCGGGCCTCTTCACTGAGCCGGTCCCTCCGGCTGCGCCGCCGAGGCCCCTCCAGCCTCTGCCCCTTCAGCCTCGCGGCTGGGCCCGCCTCTGCTTCTGAACGCGGAGGCCGGGGAGCCCCTGCCTGGGCCCGGAGCCTCCCCTCGGGGGTCGGGCCCGGGCAGGGGGCCCCGAGACGCTTCCCTCCCTACCGGCCTCTGAGCCCCATTTCCTGCTTTTTCAGCTTCCTTGAAGGGGGGGTGTGGGTCTTGATGAATTGTTCCGGGGGTCCCCAATGAAGCAGGGGCCGCGTTCTTTTTAGAGGGTCCCCGCGGGGCCTGGGTGGGGAAGCGGTTCTTTGTGCATGGGCGGGGGACTTCCCGAGCCTGCCGGGACCATGACCTGACCTGTGCGAGCGGGACGTGTCGGAAGCCCGAGAGCCAGCTCACCTGAGCCGTCCCCTTCCCCTGCCAGCATGGTAAGTGGGGTCCGAGCCCCTTCCCTCCTAGGGTGCCCGGCCTGGGGTGGGAGCGGGCCCTGGGACTGCTGAGCCATCGCTTCTCCCTTGGGCGGGGAGAGGCGCGTGCCGAGCAGGGCAGCGACACATGCGTGCAGGGTTTGCAACCCCGGCTCTGCGCTCCCATCCCCCCAGGGATGTCTCAGGACTGGGAGGGACCTGGAAGCACAGCAGGCACAACCCTTGCATCTGGTGTCTTCCTCTCACGGTGTAGCTCATCATTACAGTAGCTATCATTTTTTGAGGGCTTGCTATGTGCCAGGCCCTGTGCCAAGTGATTGACATGTGCTATTTAGCACACCAGCCCTCTTCCGAAGTGGGGAGACTGAGGCACACAACCACAAATTACCCAGCTCAAGGTCACTCTTAATTGACAGTGGCACAACTTGAACCCAGACAGTCTGAGTTCAGAACTATTGGATGCAACACACAGAGCTGGTCGGGGTCTTGCTGTAGGTTTATATATGGGGAAACAGAGGGTTTGTAATTTGCAGAGGTCACTTACTTAGATAATAGCAGACAGGAACGGTGCTATTCTTTTGAAACTGATGTTCTTTCTACTACATGCTCTGGCCTTTTCCCTGTAGTGCCTGGAAAACTATTCATCCTTGCAGATTCAGCTTAGAATCTGCCTCTGCCGAAGATACCTTCTGCATTTTCCACGTACTCCCTTAGATTTGTGTACTCACATCTATTTATTAAGCACTTGTCTTTTGTTATTGTAATGGTTTCTGAACCTTATCTATCTACTATTGAAGACTCAAGTCCCTTAGAAGTGAAATTGTCTGAACCTTTATGTGCCCTAGCTCTTGGCAGTAGTAAGCCATGGGGAGTGGTTGATGGCCCACCCTGTGTTTGAGCACCTTCGGTGACAGAAGTTTTCTTAAGGCTGCCCGTTTTACTCCTGCCAAGCTAGTGATTTAGTTGAGAAAGGGACACAGTGTGACATCTTCTGTAATATAGATGTTCAGGCCAGTGGGATTTTCAGAACATTCGAGAGGCCTGTGGATGGTGTGTTCAGGTTCTGGGCATAGAAAGAAGACTTGAGGTGTAGCCCTTGTCTTATTGGGGTTACAACCAGTTGGTTAAAATACACTGTTAATGCCAAGCAGCACTGCGTAGTAGGTACTATATGTAGTATAGTGGCAGGTCAGCTAAGCTCTCTGAGTTCCAGTTTCCTCATCGTAAAATGTGGAGGTAGGAATTCTTTAATTAATAAAGATGAAAGTAGTACTGAGTATTTCTTCATTTATTCTTTCAAATAATATTTTTTAAACTGTAAAATACACATAATATGAAACTTAGCATTTTTAATCATTTTAAGTGTACAGTTTTGTAGCTTTAAGTATGTTCACATTGTTGTGCATTCCATCCCCAGAACTTTTTTCATCTCGCAAAACAAATTGTACCTGTTAAACACTCCCATTCCCTTCTTCCTGTCCCCTGGTGACCACTATTCTGGTTTCTGTCTCTATGAATTTGACTACTCTAGATACCTAATATAAGTGGAATCCTTATTTCACTTAGCTTCTTTCACTTAGCATAATGTCCTTGAGGTTCATCCATTTTGTAGCACATGTCAAAATATCCTTCCTTTTTAAGGCTGAATAGTACTCCATTGTGTTATTTTGTTTATCCATTTTGTTTATTCATTCAACTATTGGTGGACACCTGGGTTACTTACACCTTTTGCCTTTTGTGAGTAATGCTGCTGTGAATATGGGTGTACAAATCTTTCAGTGAATTTTAAATAGCTATTATATGCCAGGCTCTAGGGAATGTCAGGTAAACACAGACATATTCCTCCTCTCAGGGGGCTCTGGAACCCCTGGGTAGAATATACTGGTTATGCACTAAGCCAAACAACTTTGTATTCAGGTTTCATTTTTATTGGCGATCAGAAGAGCATTATGAAATGACCACCTTCGAGCAATTAATTGTAAAGTAGTAGTTGATTTTATAATCACTATGTACAGTTTTTTCTGAAGTAAGTTTCGAGTCACATATTTAAGCACAGTGGATACGAGATGAACAGGATGCTCTAATCATGTCTTTTTTGCATCACTGTCATCAGAGGTTCATCTGTAGCTGTACCAGGGTCAGGGTGTGGGCAGGGCAGGCTTTGTCCCCAAAATGCAAGGAAGCCATTGCCTGGTTTGTGTCTTAAAGGAGAAGGGTCTTTCCCTGGTATCACAGCTATTTATTCCAGGAACTTTTTTTCCCATCTATTTCTTACTGACTTAACATTTTTAATTCTAAGAGTATTAGTTGACATGTTTGACAGTGGATTAGTGATTACCAGAGGGAAGGGAGGAGGAGGAGAAGAGGTAGATAAAGGTAAAAGGGGTCAAATATTTGGTGACAGAAGGAAATCTAACTCTGGGTGGTGAACACAATGTGATATATATATGACTTACTGTTGAATGATACACTTGAAACTTATTTGATTTTGTTAATGTCACCCCAATAATTTTTAATTAAACCCAGCTTCCCATTTACCAGCTTGAAAAAAAGTGTTAGTTGACATGTTTGAGCCTTTGTAATGACTTCTTTTTAAAACTTCAACTCTAGTAAGACGAAAATGTTATAATATGATAAAACTACCATTTATATAGTATCTGCTGTAAGCTAGCTGTTTTCCATGTATTCATTTTTCAAGTCATTCAGTATCGGTTAACCACACCCACCCTGCAAGGTTATATTATTGTCATTACTACCATAGGAGGAGTTGAACAGACCTGTTGTACGATATCTGTCTAACAAGCATTTGGACCCAAGGTGCTCTACACCAACGCCTGTGCTCTTTGCAGTACATATACTGTCTCATGTGGAAGATGATTGGTGATGTCATCCAACTGAATTTGTTTGGTTCTGAGATAGATAGTGATGGGGGCTAGGGATTATTGGAATTCCTTTAAACTGTCCTACCAGGAGGAGAGATTTTGACCTGCAGATTTAAAAATAATTAAAAAAGATTTGTAGTTGCAGTACCAGAATTACTAGAACAGCTATTGGGCAGCTACATTTGATTAAATCATCACTTTGGGTTGAATTCCCACGAGTTCTTAAGTGATGTAACATCTTAGAGGTTCCCACTACTTCTTTGAAAACTTATTACTTAAATGCTTATTATGGAAATTTTGTGCAAACTTGAGTCTTTGCTTAAATTTTTTTAGATGCTCAGAAAATTGCTTTGGTTAGAAAGGCTTCTCATTTTTGAATGTCACCCTCTGCGAGTGGTCTGTAATGTGGGCAAAACCAGACCTTATATTTGGCAACTCAAATGGTGTGTCTGTCATTCATTTGTCCATCAACAGTGTAGCATTGTGCACCATGTGGTGGGAGTTTTGAAGAAGCCATGGTGGTGTAGGGAGGTGGCAGGGAAAGGTAGCTTTCAGAGGCTCTGTAGTCAGTCACGTAATTAGAGGTGGACTGGGAGACAGGTTAAAAAATATCAAGAAGTGACTTTAACAGCTTTTGAAAAAATTAGTACCTGACCTGGTTCAAATGATGAAATTATCTGGTAGACAAAAAATTCAATGTGATATAAAGAAGTAATTCTCTACTGTAGGTCAGAGCTTTCTAGTGCCTCAGTTTATTCATGTATGAAATAATATACTGACTTCCTGAATCAAGCTTAAAAATCCTGGTTACTATGGATATAATATAATAATATAATAGTTGATATTTATAGGGCTTAGCATATGCCAGGCATTTTACATATATTAACTCATTTACTCTTCCAAACAATGCCAGGAGGTAGAGACTATTTTTAATTCTCATTTTATAGATGAGAACATTCAAGGCCCAGAGAGGTGAGGCATCTTCTCAAGGTCACACTGCAACCACATGGTGGAACTGGCATTCAAGCTCAGGCAATCTGGCTGAGTCTGGGCTCTGAACTGTTACTCTTTCACCTCTAGAGGAGTGATGTTTGTTGCCCCGTTTCTCTAGGAGTCAGTTTAGCGAGGAAGTTGGGACATATATTCTGATAATTATAAGGGACTGTGATAAGGGTGATAGAAGAATATCTGAGGGAGATTAACTGAGGAGAGGGGCCAGCGGAGGCTTCCTGGGAGGTTGAGTCTTGAAGGATTAGGAAGAATTTGACAATTGGATGAGGGAAAAAAGGATCTTTCAAGAAAAAATTGTTGGCAGGTAGTTAACAACAATCAGGTACCTATCAATAAAGATAATAGTGATAGGTGTAAAGGGAGGGAGAGCATTTATTGAATATTTAGGACTTTTTAGGGCTTTATATGCAAACGGCACTCAGGCATGGGACCCTTTCTCATAGCAAATACTATTACCCCATTCTTGCTAGCAACTGCCCTATTTCTTTGTTCCCTTTTGCAACAAAACTCTAGGTAAGAGTGGTTGATAAGTGGTTACCCTCTGTTCTCTCTCAAGTTCATTTGTCAAGGGCTTTTCCCCCATGGTGGCTAAATGCAGTGGTTTTCAGTCCTCATTTTACTTGATTTGTCAGTAGCATTGGACAAGTCGAGCACTCCCTCTTCGTTAAGTTTTCATTTGGCCTCCTGGACACCAAGATGTGCTTTTGATTTTCCTCCATCTCACTGATCTTTGAACAGCTGGGGTGCCCTAGGCCTCAGACCTGGTGAATTCCCAGTCCAGACCTCTCCTCAGCTGTAGTTCTCATGTATCCAACTGCCTGCCTACTTGACATACAAGCTCGTTTGTCAGGCACTTCAAATATAACATGTGTCAAACTCAACTCTCGATCTTCTGTAAGTCTTCTCCACCCATAGCCTTCATTTGGGGGCTGCTCCATCCTTCCAGCTGCTTGTGCCAAAAACTTGGAAGTCATCCTTGACTTTTCTTTATCTCACATCCCGCATCTGGTCATATCAGGAAAGCTGATTGTTTTCTACCTTCGAAATGTAGCCAGGACTTTATCACTTCTTACTCCCTCCACTGCTACCCTCTAGTTCAGGCCTTCA